GCTGAGGGAACTGGGGTTGTTTAGTCTGGAGAAGAGGAGGCTGAGGGGAGATCATATCACGCTCTACGATGACCTGAAAGGGGGTTGTGGTAAGGTGGGTGTTGGTCTCTTCTCCCAACTAACTAGCGATAGGACGAGAGGAAATGGCCTCAAGTTGCGCCAGGGGAAGTTTAGACTGGACATTAGGAAAAATTTCTTTACTGAAAGAGTGGTCAAGCATTGGAACAGGCTGCCCAGGGAGGTGGTGGAGTCACCATCACTGGAAGTGTTCAAAAAGCGTGCAGACATGGCACTTTGGGACATGGTTTAGTGGGCATGATGGTGTTAGGTTGACAGTTGGACTTGATGTTTTTAAAGGTCTTTTCCAACCTTAATGGTTCTGTGAAATCATGCCTGAGAAACCTGCTAGCTTTTTACAATGGGCTCAAAGAATTGGCTTCAGTGGTATACAATCCAGCTGGTGGCTTGGTACTAGAGGCAGTCCTCAGGGATCCATACTGGGCTGATGCAGTTTATCGTATTTACTAATGACCTGGACTTGTGGGCAGGAGATAACACTTGGCAAGTTCACAGATACAAACTAGGGACAGTGGTAAATATTCTGCAGGGCATAGCTGCTATTCAGAGGCATACTGACAGGCTGGAAAAATGGATTAACACAAAGTGCAGTAAGTGCAAATGCAGAGTCCTGCATCTGGGATAGAACAACCCTATGTAGTAAGACAGGCTGGGGGTTGATTGGCTAGAATGTAACTTTGTAGAACAGGGCCTTGATTCCTGGTGGAAAACAAGCTGAATATTAGTCAGCAATGTGAATTAAGTTCAGTAGCATTTTAGGCCATATTAACAAGAAATGTATCCAGCAGGTTAAGGGAAGTGATTCTCATTTGTTCAGCACTTGAGAAACCCCAATGTGAAGCACTGTCTTGGTTTTGGATCCCCACTACTAGAGAGGCACTAACAAAACCATAGCAAGTCCAGCGAAAGGTCACCTGAAACATCAAGGAGATGAAGTATATGCTCCGTGAGGTGCAGATGACAGAACTGGCTTTGGTCAGCCTTAACAAATGAAGACTACTTGGAGATTGTATTGCTGCCTTCCATTACGTAATATGGGAAGGCACAGAGAAGACAGAGCCACCACTCTTTAAGGTGCACAACAACAGGACAGGAGGCAATGGACACAAGTCGGAACACAGACTATTCCAATTAAATATAAGCAGAAAGTTTTTCACTGTTGAGGCTGGTTAAATATTAGGCTACCCAAGAAAAAGTTGTGGTATACACATCCTTGGAGATGCACAAAAGTAAACTGCCAAGGTCCTCGAGTCATCTGATGTAATTGGACCTGCTTCAAGTATGGGGCTGGAATAAAGACCATCGGAGGGTTGAATTAAAACTACTTTGCAATGCCATCATCTTCCCTGTGGTCTTTCACATACCTTTTCCAGTTCTGTGACATCTTCTTTGATATGGGGAAGGGGAAGGAAACAAAACATTTAAGAGCTTGGTGTCCCATAATGAAGTTTTCCTCAATTTCTTAATTTATTCACAGCATTCTTTATTTGCTTTCTTCAACTGCTATTGTATCAATGTTTTCACAAAACTACCTGCTATAATCCCAGAAAATCATTGCTGAGTCTGTTCTACTTTCCTATCAAGTTATGAACACTTTTGTATTAACCCGTACCACTTTGTAGTTAACCACAATGAGTTTCACCTGCCATTTTATACCCCAGTCACTCAGCATTGCAAGATTCTTCTACAGCTCTTCACGGTATCACCTGCAAACTGTCACCCTGCTAGTCACCTTTCATTTTAGATAAATTATTAACTCCATCACAGAGCACAGCCTCTAGAACAGATCACTGTTGATTTACTTTTGTCCTGATTTCATCCAGGAGAGAGTTAATTTTCTTCACAGAAGCTAGTGTGAGGCTATGTTTTGGATTTGGGATGAGAAAATGCTGTAATGTGCTGATGTTTTGAGTTGTTGCTAAGCTGTCAAGGACAGTCAAGCTTCTCATGCTGGCCTGCTAGCAAGAAGGCTGGGAGTGCATGGGAAGCTGGAAGGGGACACAGCCAGGACAATTGACCTAGGCTGACCAAAGAGGTATTTCATACCATATCATGTCATGCTCCATATATAAAATTGGGACGAAGAAGAAGGAAGGGGTAGAGGGACATTTGGAGTTATGCCATCTGTTTTCCCAAGAAACCATTACACATGATGGAGCCCTGCTTTCCTGGAGACAGCTGGACACCTGCCTGCCAACAGGAAGCAATGAATGAATTCCTTGTTTTGCTTTGCTTGCGTGTGCGGCTTTTGGTTTACCTATTAAACTGCCTTTATCTCAAACCATGAGTTTCCTCACTTTTACTCTTC